TTTCTTTTGTACCTTTTGTAGCTGCTTCCAAACGATCAATCTGACCTTTTAGTTGTACCATTTCTTGTTCTTCTAATCTCTCATTTCAGGCTACCCTCCTCTTGCTAGAAATTGATGACACTTAGGGATACCAAAGGGGAAGGATGGTTATGCTGTTATTTGGTTAGTCAACACAACCTGGGGCATTTTCTTACCTTTACCTTGCATCTGTGTTGAGATAAGTGAATTGGCTAATGGAATTACTGATACTCCATTCTTAATTTCCTGTTATGTTTCTGTATCATTCTTGCTGTTGATGAAATGCAAGCTGGGCAATGACTTTTTATAATGCTACTAAAAGATATTAATGACTATGAATTTGTGAATTCAGCAACTGTTAAGCTACTAAAACTGAAAAGAGTTATCCAAACCTAGGAATAACGAAGAAACCACCTGATTCATTCAGATATGAGAAGAAAGGAGAAGGGGGAGATGGCAGAAAGTCAAATAGTTCTTCCTTCCACACCATTATCTACATGTAAGAGCCAAGTTAGTTAACATGCACATAAGTTTTGGCTTGCATAGGCAGTCTTTGCATGGGCTTCCACCACACAGGCTTAGCAGAGAGTACATTAAGCTAATGTTAAACAGTAAAAAGGAAGAAGGCTGGGAAACCACAGAGAAAGCTCACTGGAGTGAGACCTGCCCAAAATATGGTGATCCTACCTGCCAGGACATCAATACACTTGCTGAATTAGATCTCAGTAAATACAATATATCTGTTCAGTTCTCCAAGGTATCTCCAAGGCAACTCCAAGGTGGAAGGGGACCGATAGCTGGGATGGAAGTTACTGATCAGCAGATGCTCTGGGATAGGGTCTAGGGTGTTCATACTGAAGGCAGTCAGTTCTGAGGAGCAAAAGAGATGGGCAGCTCTGCATGTCCCAGGCCCATTTTATTGTTCATCTCTCTGAAGCAATTGGCAGAACCTTTCCTTGGCAGGTGAAACAGAGAGACTTGAGAAAGTAAGCCTGTAAAGTCTGCTGAAGCAAGCCTAAGTCAGACTTGCTATTAGCTGGCGGTAGTTAACAATAGTATTTAAAAACAGTTCCTCCATCTTTGTAATTTTTTCCTAAATACTGAAAAATTTGTTCTACTCAGATTCAGCATAATATGATAGACCTCTTCGCAATCATTTCTACTAACAATCCTGACCTCTGCCTAAAGCTGCTACAGAGTGTGCTGTTCTTACGGGAATGTGAGTTAGAAAAGCGTATTTTGGCATGTCTTCTTGCATAACGTAAGTTGCAGGGATTTCTCAAGTTGAGACAGAAAGTTTACCTCACTGATGGCTTTGGAAAGTGACATTGCAGAGGACACATTTGTCAAGCACAATAACCTTTGGTAAGTTCAGGGAAAAGATGCCATGATGAGATACTCTTTCTGGTACATTTTGAATAACTTAACGATATATGGGCCCTCCCTGAGTCCTGAAGAAACACTATGGATAGTGCAAACACTGCAAGATTAGCAGTAACTGAAGAGCTCCAGAAAGTAAAAGAACAGTTTCCACAAAACCTTCATGGTGCCTGTTCTCAGGGATACAGGACTATCACAAAAGTAGGAGAAAACTCTCAATTACCAGTGGTCAGTTGCTAACTATTTGTCATGGTTTAACCCCAGCCGGCAACTAAGCCCCACCCAGCCGCTCGCTCAATCACCT